GGTAGGAAAAGTGTCTCTTTTCGTTCCCACCATCCTATTCAGTAGGTGGGTTATAGGAAAAGCAAGTCTCAGATTCTTCACGTATGTCCACATCGTACAGCAAGTGGCATGAACACACAGCTATGTAACTTGTTCTTACAATCACAATGAAGTCTCACTCTTCTGCACCCTAATGCCTTGTGAAACGTGTACTAGAAGAAGATAACATTATACAGTTAGGATTCAGATGATCCAGGGATCTGGTGAAAGGATTCTCTATTAATGGCAAATCCAAAAACATAAGAGAGCCTTAGGCCAAGAATGTTATTCCAAGGGAGTAAGCTGCAGGGTGACCAGATTTATACAAATATAATTGCTGAAGTTCTCATATGATAATTCTAGACAATTTCCATGTCTTGAACACCTCTCATTTCACAAATAAAAAGTCATTTCTAATATCTCTTATACTAATTAACCAACTTTCTAGTGCTGATAAAAAATTAAAATAATTTAAAATGTTATAGCAGCTCCCTTGGGAATATAATCTTCTGATTAGTATCATTCAAATACTAATCAACCATCCATGAATTGATCCTTAGGAACTATCAGATATAAGTTAATATTTTGGTGTAGATTAAAGCTTATATACATACACATCACAAGTTTGTGTACTCCCATGTTTTAAAATAAATTATAGGAATTTGACATTCTGCCAGGAGACCAATTGGCAAGATTGGGAACTACTTTTCCCATTCCATTCTATCCACTGAGAAATGAGAAGAGGTACTCTTTCTGCACAAATTTGGTTTAGTTGTTCATTGAAATGGGCAAGGAAAGAATTGGGGATGAAAAGGAGAGCATTTTTATGGAACTAGAGTTATGAAATCTTTGACAGGGGCCTTCTTGCACAAATCCATGGGGATATATGTTGGGCTTAGGCCAATTTCCTAACCATTCCTTTTCGTTCTTAGACCTCTAAATGCCCACTCTTCTTACTGTTGCCTCAGACTATCATCTTCATCCAAAGCCTGGCTTTGTATGCTTCTCTCCATGGGATAGGACAGTTATACTACATTCTTTCTTTTTCTTTCAAGCTTTCTCCTGAAACATTACTGAGGTCTGCAAAATATTTTTTAAAAGTTTTGTAAAGTAATAAATAGACAGTAGATGCACATAACCATCAAAAGGATTGTTGCTAAATTCAAATCACAATTAAACTGACCCTAATAAAGAATTACCCACAAGGTAATTATTTTTTATTTTCTACATTTTAAAATTTGTTTTTCTTTAGTACAGCACTAATATTAGAATATTACCAGACTATGACCCTTGTTAATTCTATTTGCTGTACTACTGCATATTTGCAATTTTGGTTTTAAAATCATGAAATGTGTAAAACATATCCAGATATAAATTGGAATTCATAGACAATCTTGTCTCAGCTATGTTCTTACTTACTTTCTCCAATTCCATGTTATTTTCAAGCAAATCTTATATGTCCTTTTATCTACAAATATTTTAGTTTGTACCTGTAGAAATATGAACTCACTTAAAAATAACCATAATTCCAATGTTACACTAATAAAATTAATAATAATTAATATCATCAAATATTCAGCTACTGTTTATATTTCTTTTCCCCCTACATTTTTATTAGTGCCTTCTAGTTATACATACTGATTTGTTGTTACATATTTGTACATGCACACAATACACAATATAAAAAAATAATTTGGTTGATATAACTCCCCAACCATTCTCCCCTCTTTACCACCTCCCACTCCTTAGTCCTTTTTCTATATTCACCTCTCTTTGATATGATTTCATGAGATCCACCCCAGTGTTTACATTTCTAATTGTGTTATAGGATCCACAAATTGCAACTGGTTTATATGTTATTTAATTATTTTAATCTATAACCTCTCTTCTTCTTTGTCTCTTCCTACAATTTACTAAGTGAAGATAGTTTTTGTTTTCATAAATTTCTCCAAATACAGGTTTTACTGATTCATACTTGATTTTGAGATTCTGCTTTATTTCTTACTATATTTTAAATAAATATAATACATAGTATCTCAAAGATATTTTGAAAATGTAGAGAAGTAGAAAGAAGTTTTTTTTAATTTTTTCTTTCAGTCTTAGGATAATCCCCCTACTAGACTTCTTTAAATTGTTAACTAATGATCCTGGAGTCTCAAGAACAAAGCTGTGATTGGCAAAAATTAAACATTAAAAGAAATGAGAACAAAAGAAAAATAAACAACAAAAAAAGAACAAAGCTGTGGCCTTTCCATGTATCAACAAATAGCTTTCCTCCTCTCACCCCTTCATGAATGAAAACAGTGGTTCTTAGCAATGATGTGTTCCCAAAGGCTATTCTGGAAATTTGGTGTGTTGTTGTTAAATGACTGAGTTGGAGGGAGATGATGAACTCCATGAAGAATGGCCTTCATATTGTGCTGATTTCAATTGTTCTCCTTAAATTCACGTAAGTAAAAAAAAAAAGTTATAATTATCTGAGACTCACTCAGTTCTGTTTTATGAATGATCACAAAGTACTTTTTACATGTTTCTACTACACACTGGATTTTCTAACAATACAACGACTGGCTTGTGCTGCCTGGCTTGTGATGTAGGTCGTTTGCTCTGCTGTAAAGGGAGGGAAGATGGCACTCTTTTGTTTGTTTCCATTTCAGAAAAACACTAGCAGCATGGCCACTAGCATTATTTGGGTTGCCAACACAATCCAGCTGCATGAGGGTGATTTTTTGGTTGTTGCTTCCACAGGGCTGCTGTGAGCACAAGCACAGGATCACTTCATCATGCCTTTCTATCTGTGCTCCCAGATCTAAATGTGAGGGTGCTACTATAGCCAGCCCACACATTTATCTGGTGAAATACAAATTACTTTATTATAATTCTTAATGCCTCCTACTTATAGGTAGGGAATCCTGTGCTTGGAATATGGATGGATATCTCCTAAGATTATGAATTGAAGGCTTGGTCCCCAGGGTGGCACTAATGGGAAGTAATGGAACTTTGGAGAGGTGGAGCCTAATAAGAGGTCCTTAGGTCACTGGGGATGTGCTCTTGAAGGAAACTGTGAAACCTTAAGCTCTTACTCTGTGCTACCTGGCTTGTGCTGTAGGTAATTTGCTCTACCATGCTGTCCTGTACAATGTGCTGTCCTTGCCAGAGCAAAGGAGCGGCCCAGTCTTGGACTGGAAGCTCCAGAACTGTGCACCAAAATAAATCTTACTTTTTATAAATTGATCACCTCAGATATTTCATTATGATAATGCAAAACTGGCTAATATAGGATATTATATTAATGATCTTGAAATTTTGTGCATGGCTATGTTATAGTATTCATAGATTTTATTTTAAGATTTATTTGTGGGATAAGATTTTTTTGTTATTAAATGTGGAGTTGTTTCTGATGATGAGCTCCCATGTTTAGGTAAGTAGGGAAGATCAAGGCTGCTCAGATTGGTCAGGCACCATTGCATAAGTGGAGCATTTTACCAGTAGAGTTTGCATAATAGCTTATACTTATCTAGTCCTTAATTAACATGCTAGGAAGTCTCCCTGATTCTAAATGCTTTACGTAAATTGACTTCTTTAATCCTTACAAGAGCTTACAGTAGGAGTTATCACTTTTCCCATCTCATAAATGAGGAAATAGGGACCTGGAGACAAAGCAATTTACCCAACATCACACAGCAAGTGTCATAGCTGAGATTCAAACTAAGGAAGTGGAGATATAAAGTCTGTTCTCTAATTCATTGATTTTAGTTGCTTTTTTAAAACTGAAGCACAAAGGAAGAAAAATCAAGTGTGTTGGTAGAAAATACACAGTGGTGTCAGTTTTTTTTTTTTTTTTTGAGAGAGAGAGAGAGAGAGAGAGAGAGAATGAATCTTTTTTTGTGGATGGACACAACACAATGCCTTTATTTTTCTTTTTTATGTGGTGCTGAGAATTGAACTGGAGTCTCGCCCGTGCTAAGCGAGCATTCTACTACTGAGCCACAATCCCAGCCCCAGTGGTGTCAGTTTTAAAGGATATTGGTAAATTGGTACCTTGTAGAGGCTAGGTGAGCTGAGTGGGAAAGTGAACATTGAAAGTGCATTCTAGCTTCCCAATGGGGCATAATAAATTTTTGTTAATTTAGTGTTCTAGAGTTTGGGGCCAAAATGACCTTAGAGTAGACATTTGTGGTGGAGAATCACTTGAATGGCTTCTTAGTGATGCTATAGCCTATAGGCCTCCTTTTCCATAGGGGCAGGGTGTCATGCATTCACCTAAGACCTCTTCTAAACAGAACTTGGTAATGACTAGATATTGATCACTATACATAGAAGGCCAAAGCCTTTAGTAGGMAAAAGAAGAATCACAGCCCTTATTCTCTGTGACACTATCTGGATAACACTAGCATGATGGACTGGGGAGCCTAACATGTTGGCAGGAGATGATACTATATATGAAGGGGTCTTGTAAGAGAGAGTCTGGGCTGATGATTTCTCACATCTACAGGACCTTATGGGGAATAGAGAACAAAATTAGGGATGTGTCTCAAAGAAAGTAAAACAGTTATTTAGGCACCTATACAACAAAGGAGACTGTATCATCTGCTTTGTAAAATAGCACACTCAGACAGGAGAACTTAACAAGAAATCTATGATGGGAGGTGCCTAATTTTCCCAGTCAGAATTGATTGTTAATTAGACTACACCTGGTTCGATTTCCAACCAGATACTTTCTGACCAGTCATAGGTAAAGGAACAGAACAGAAAATTTTATATAAGTCAACAAAATCCATATTATATAATGAACTGTAAATATTTGTGTAAAGAGGTAACTACAAAGATTTACTTCAAGCTCTCCTGAACAAGGAGTTGATGGAACTGTTATTTAGGAACACCTCCAGAAATTGTCTTTGTCCTAGTCTTATTTGGAGTCCTCTTTGGCTTTTCCTTTGATCTTCTGCACTTTCCTTCACAAGTCTGGGTCCCATGCCAACCTTGTCTGAATGACTGTTTCTCTTCTGGCTTCTGTCCCAATTGTGTATCTACAACATTAGCTATTACATAGAGGATGAACTCAAAGAGGCATTCATCCTTCATTTTCCTTTGGTCTTCCATGCAGTCCTTGATGTCTTGATAAGCTTTAGTTGGGGTGTGATTCGGAGCAAATGCAAGATTTTGACATTTGGCCATGTCTTTGGGATTCTACTTCTCAGCCTCAGAAAAATGCAAATGATATGAGTGAGCATTCTCAATTGTTCTGGGGATGATGTATGGGCAAACATTCTAGATGCAAAAGAAAGACATTAATTTATTACGTACAATAAATCCTTTTTTTGATAGGTCTTCACTTTTACATGCACGATACCTCTTTATTCTCACAAAATATTGCAAGGGAGAAAAATGTTACCTCTCCCTTTTTAAAAAGAGGAAACCAGATTTCCCTGGTTAGGCAGCTAGAAGTTATTTTTTTTACACCTTAATTTCCTTACATGATTCTTCAGCATACCCTGTCAACTTCACCTCTGCAGTATTTCTCAGTTTTATTGTTTCTCTATGCAACTGCCCTGGAGTGACACCTCATTAACTCTCACTTGGAGACCTTAGCATCTGCCTGACTGCCATCTCAGCTCCTGTCTCTGTTTTCCTATTAATTCTGCCCTATGTCCAGAGATACTTTTCTCAAATACAAAACTCATCATGTCATTTTCCTGCCTTAAGCCTTACTTTCCACTCCAGCCCCTTTTGACCGTAGAATACAATTTGGAAACTTAGCATGTGCTTCTGCACCTTCACCAGTCAGGTAACCTGCCATTCTAGTCTTTTTTTTTTTTTTTCACATCATGTCTTTGGGCATCTTACACCACAGCTAAACCACACTTCCTACTGCTTCTAGAACAAATCTTATGATTTCCAGCCTCTGTAGTCTCCTGCAGTTCTCTTGCCTGCTAGATCTTCTCTCTACTTTCTTATCATTTTTGCCAATCTACCCAGTACTTTAGAATTTGTGCTCTCTAACTGAACCAGGCAATCAATCCTCTGCCCTCACAACTTCTTAATATTTATACTTTTCATGACATTTTTCATACCTTTCATTAAGGTGCTTTCCTATTGCTTCATTAGAACATTAATAGACTCCTACTCTTCAAAGTGGCAAATAATGTCCTCTACCTTCAAACATTCTATAGCACCTAAGTCAGTTCTCTGCATACATTAGGTACCAACAGAAGTAGGTTGAGCATGTAGCATATTAATTTGAAATGAATATACATTTAGAAATGTTTAGGAAAAAACATTTGAGTATTCATACCTCTGTTCTGTGGTTTTCAGTTTGGGGTTCCTATGAGTCTGTGAAGATGGCAAATACAGTTTTTGAATCATTTGCAGTATTATAATAAGCCCAATGGAAACTGTACCTTTGCCTGTAATGAGGTTTGAAGACTAACTACAACTTTATTTTTGTTTATAATTATATTATCTCTGCAACAATAGCTTTAATCTCTTAGCATAGGATTGTTTGGTATCAAGAAACAGAATATATTACTGAGTTTAAGGAACAGAAGAAATCTAATATGATGCTATAGCAGTATCTTGTACAAGCCTAAAGTAGGTAAGATGGTTTGGTCTTACAAAGGACTGAAATCAGTGAAAAGGAACTCATCCAGACCAAATGCAGCTCCCATGAGGGATCTCTCCCTGGGGCCTCTGTGTCCTTCTTCTACTTCTGTCTTTCTCGGTTTCATCCACCTTTCTGGATACTGGGCTCTGCTAGCGCATGGCTGTCATCATATCTATAGATTATTTAAAAACACCTCAGTGAAGACATATATGTGTATATATGCATATAGGGGTGTGTGTGTGTGTGTGTGTGTGTGTGTGTGTGTGTGTATACACACATATATACATTAGTTAAGATTTAAAGTTCCCACTCAGAACTTCTCCAGAATGGTAGTTGGCAATATATATTGGTTTGTTAGCATCTGAAATAACTTAGCTAGAAATCCACACTCCGAGGACAGTTACTGTAACTTTCAACCATATTTATCTCAGATGGGTTCTAGACACTTTTAAAATTAGCAATGGCTTTTTGTTGGTGAAATATGTTATGTTCAAGATATGAGCCTGGTTAGAAATATGGTACTCACAACTCTTCTGTCACAGAGCAGGTGTAAGATTACATTTTTGCAGCAGTATTTTTTTTTTGTCATAGGACTTAGTTTGGTTCTATTTATGGATTCTGTCATCAGTTGCAATGAGAAGTTTAGTTGCATCCTGATGCTAAAATATTGTTGCCTCTGCCTTCAGTGAAATAAAATGTTAGTTGTAAATGCTCAACTTATTTTGGGTCTGTTTGCAATAAGGATGTAYCAGGGTTACTACAAAACTGGTCACATCTCAGTCTTTAGATATCTATGTAAGAATACAGGCCCCTAGATTCCAGAGATCATAACCTCTTGGTCCTATATTTCCTGTTTCTCTGGAAAGAGCATTGATTGGCTCAGCTTGGATAAGGTGCCCTGGCAGTAGCCCAACCAGTTTCTAGGTTGCGTAGTAGTCAGCAGTGCGAAGCAATGCCTGCAGGCAGGAGATGTTGATGAGCACCCTCTGAAAATGGATTCAAATGGGTGCTTAGTAAAGAGTAAATTTCATAGGTGTTGTTGGGAGTTGCTCTGGCTCCAAAGACTAACTTCCCCATCCCCCAAGAAGAGCCATCCAATGGTGAGCCCTGCTGGCTCACATCATCCTTACCCACCAATCAGACTAGCTCTGCTGGCTCACATGATCCTTACCCACCAATCAGAAAGCACCCCATGCCAACTGTCAAACTGTTCAACCATTAAACTGTCATAACTGTCAAACCACCCCCAGCTCTATAAAATATGCAGAGCTGTTCCTCAATAAGCGAGCATTTTCTCCGACGATGAGCCTTGTTCCTTCTTTCAGGTATATTGACAAAGTAAGGACCTTGAGACCTCATTTTGGTCTGACCCAAAGTTATATGTGTCTTTATGTAAAAAAGAATACAAAATTCTTAAAAACTGAGCAATTTTTTATGTTGGTTAAATCTTATAGACAGTAAGGTTAATTGGTAAATAAGGGTCCTTGACATGCCATTACTTTTGATTTTAATGGTTTTATTAGTGGAGGGACTTTTAATTTGGAGGGGGGTTGATCTTTGAAAGAAGGCAGGAAAATGGACCACTTGTTCATGGGATGAGGAGGACAAAGATTAGAAGAGAGTGTACGACTTAGCTGACAAACTGAGACTATTTTCATATTTATATCACAAGCTAGCTCTGCCTGCTTACAATGCAAACAACAAACAATACCCAATTAAAATTATTCTTCCTCCATGGAGTGTGATTATGACAAGGCCATGGAACAGAACAAGTGTTTGTTGTGCAAAATTTGTTTTGACTAGACCAACAAGGCTGGTTCTATGGGCCATCTGCTAGGGTGTATATAGTTTGCTCTCAGAATCCTTGTTTAACCTGCATCTGTAAAAATGGTGTTGCTAAGTAAATTAATAATGTAAACAAGGGAAATGTTGTGCTGACTTAGAGTGAAGGCCTTGGGCTGAGGCATTTGCATTGGAACAAAGGATGTACTAATTTCAAGTGTGCTATCAGTTCAAGTGCTTCAGCTCCTCTTTCAGTGACAGCAGTTTCACTCATTTTTTCCTGGGATGTTTTGAAACTCAGTTTTCTTTCAGAAATGTTCCTTTAGTGACAATGACCTTTTTTCCCCTCCACAGTTATGATGAATTCAAGAGCTTTTACTCAAACACCTTGAATCCAAATGTCAGCAAGTTTCAGGGAATCAATAGGGTAACCAATAGGGAAATGGGAGGAAAAGGAGTGGGCAAGGGTAGGGAGGATGGGATGAGAAAGGAACTTGGCAAAGGGAGCTCTAAGTGGTCAATACAGAGAGGTGTGTGTGTGAGGGGGGTCTCCTACAGAACGAAAGTGGGATAAAGAAAAGCAAGGAAGAAGGAAGTGGGGTGATGCTGAGAAGGAAGAGGAAAACAGGGTAGACCTAGAAGAAGGACAGTGGCATGCAGGACATGTGAAATTTGTTGAAAAATGATTGACTTGTATTATTTATTAAACAGTTGGAGGTGAAGTCAAAATAGAATTGACAGTGAACTCTGAAGGAAGAAAAATCTTTTAGAATCGGCTCCCTCTCCTTTTCTACTGTAAGAACATTGGAAGCATCAGAATGGTATTGACAGATAGGTGATCTGCATAATACTGCTTTTTGCTCTGTCTTTCCCAGCTAATTGGGTTGGTTATCTCTACTTAGACCAAAGACCAAGCACTTTCTGCTTAGCCAGGTTCCCTGGGAGCAAGGTGATGAGTGTTGGTTGATTTGGGATGTCAAGAAAATGATATGACCTTGGGCAAAGCGTATAGGTTTAGGAGTAAATTCTTCCTCCTAATGCCATTCCTTTATTTTCCTTGTTTCTTTTCTCTCTGTGTGTCTGCATCTCTGGCTCTGTCTTTCTGTCTCTGTGTGAATCTCTCACACACATTCACACGTGGGATACAGAGGGTTGCACTGGAAGAGAGGGATGTGCTTGGTAGGAGTAGGGAAGAACGAACCCATAGTTCTACATCTTGTATATGTTATAAAAAAAAAATCTCTCTTAGGCTGGAACAAGGACACAGCATATTCACTAGTCTTTGCCATATTTGTGCATTTCTTGATAGTTGTAACTTAAATACAAATGTTATTTTCCTTTTAAAGTAACCATAATTAGAGAGTCAAAGGCCAGTTTATATATATATTTATAGATATATATTTATATATATATATTTATAGATATATATTTATATATATATTTATAGATATATATTTATATATATTTATAGATATATATCTATAAATATATTATGGACACAATGCCTTTATTTTGTTTATTTTTAGGTGGTGCTGAGGATCAAACCCAGTGCCTCACATGTGCAAGGCAAGTGCTCTACAGCTGAGCCACATCCCCAACCCTTCAAAGGCAGTTTCTATGCTATTTCTTCCCACTTTCCCTAGCCTGCCTTCACATTTGAGGACTAGGCAGAGGGCAAATTCTCTTTGCCAATTGAGATTAATTTGCTGGTCGTGAGCTTTCCAGGGAAATAGTGCACTCAAAAAGGCCATTTTAAAGCAGGAAATTAATGACAATCTCTCCTATTTTCTTG